GACAATTTTTGAGCCCCCTTTTTGGTCCCCATCCCCCAATCCGCTACAGTACACTTTGGAGGATCGGTCAAGCAGTTACGTATCCTCTATTTAGCTATCAGGGGCAACGAGTCAAAGAAGTCATTCAAATTTGAAGAGTTGCCAATATTTTACACTGTAGTTTGTGTAATGGATTTTTTTTTTTTTTGCGGAAGAGCGTGGTATAGTGACTGTGAAATAAAGATAATTGTACCACAGCTACAGTGTTTTTCTTTTACAAACCAAATATCAAAATTTTTAAAAATATTAATTATGGTCAGCCGTGGGCCCCTAAACGGACTGGGTCCCCCCGCATTGCGGGGTCTGGCGGCACTGTAGTTCCGCCCCTGTATGTAAGCAGCCCTACTTGAGTGGTCGGACGCAGAAAGGCCGAGAGAATGATCGTGGACAGAAATACAGATTCAACGCGCGCCTATTTTTACTTTCTCGTATATACAGAGTATAGAGAAAGTATTGAGTAATCGTGCAAAAAAAAAATAGAGATTTTTGCAAATCTCGACGTTTTACACCTCCCTGACTCGGAAAAACATAATTTTGCAATCTTGTCCGTATGTCTGTGTGTGTATGTATGTGTCTGTAAATACGATTACTTGAGTACCGTTACAGCTAGTTTGATGAAATTTCATATGTAAATATTATATCAAATTTCCACTTCCGGTTATCGGAAATCGCTCAACAGTTGATACGGATCTACTATTTTGATATAATACTTAAATTTGAAATGCTATAGGCCCGGTCGAAGGAAATAGCCGTTTTCTTCGTTACCACCAAGCTTTTCTATATTGATGTTAGCAAGTTTTAGAGGCTTGATAATTCATTAAAAAAATGTTTGTCAGTCTATTTTTATTGGTTCATTTATTCAGGTTCTATTTATTGTTAAAGCTATAGTAACTCCCATTCAATGACTAGACTTCCATGTAATTTTTTCAGCTTCGTCCTAACTATAAACCCCATTTCACTTTGAAGCGAAATGTAATTTTTTTTTTTCTGATTGCTTAGGTCAAATATTTTTGTCTTTTCTGATAGAGGGTGCTTTGAAAATTAATTACAACATATTTTAAAAATCTTTTTAGAATAGCTGAATATTTTTACACGAGAAAAATGGCCCGTTGAGGAAGGGTACAACGGGCGCTAGGCTGATAGTGCTGTCTCTTTTCTCTAAACTAAAACCAACCCACCCCCCCACACACCCCCCCCCACCTCACCCCCCCCCACCCCCACACACCACCCCCACCCCCACCACACACCACCCCCCACCCCCACCCCTCACCCCCACACACCACCCCCTCCACACACCGCCCCCCCCACCCCCCACCCCCCCCCCCCCCCCCAAAAAAAAAACATGTCTACCGTCCCATTCAACGAAATATAATTATATACTTTTTCCAGTGTCCGCCCCCTCCCAGAAAATTCTACCCCCCGCCCCCGAAAATTTCAAGTACCCCCACCCCTCTCCGGGGAGGAAAAAGTCTGAAAGAAACACTGAAACCAACCCACCCCCCCCACACACCCCCCCCCACCCCCCCACACCCCCACCCCCCCCCCCCACACACACCCCCCACACACCACCACCCCCCACCCCTCCACCACCCCCCACCCCCAAAAAAAACATGTCTACCGTCCCATTCAACGAAATATAATTAAATACTTTTTCCAGTGTCCGCCCCCTCCCAGAAAATTCTACCCCCGCCCCCGAAAATTTCAAGTACCCCCACCCCTCTCGGGGGAGGAAAAAGTCTGAAAGAAACACTGAAACCAACCCACCCCCCACCCCCCCACCCCCACACACACCCACCCCCCCCCCCCCCCCCCCCCCCCCCAAAAAAAAACATGTCTACCGTCCCATTGCAAGAAAACCACTTTTTAGATTAGACACATTAATTAGGCGGTAATTTTATTATAGAGTATCGATGAGGAAATTTCTTTTGAGTTGGGGAGGGGGGGGGGGGGGGGGGGCTCAGACGTTCTTACGCGGGGGGTGGGGCTTCGCCCCTACCCGAAGAATTGTATGCAAGAAACTCTTCACGCAAACCATTTAGATTAGACAACATTTCCTTTTTTTCAATGTTTACGCGAGAATCAATGACGTCATTACATTACTGTAAGCACTCTCTGGTTTGAGATTATGTTCTACTCTACGCTAAATGTGTCGACGTCATATTTCGTTTTTCGAATTACTGTGCATGTTTTTAAATTGCTTGTGTTTTCTCTAGAGCGTTCTTGTCAGACAGAGCGTTCTTGTCAGACAGAGCGTTCTTGTCAGACAGACAGCGAAACTATTATTATAGAGACAGAGCGTTCTTGTCAGACAGAGCGTTCTTGTCAGACAGACAGCGAAACTATTATTATAGACGAGAAAAATGGCCCGTTGAGGAAGGGTACAACGGGCGCTAGGCTGATAGTGCTGTCTCTTTTCTCTAAACTAAAACCAACCCACCCCCCCCACACACCACCCCCACCC